TGTTAAGTTCTGAAATTTTATAAATGAATTCCTTTATATAAACTTGAGTTTTTCTTGACTTCTAAAGATCATTTTTGAAGAGAAAAACTGCATGAAAATTTCAGTTCTGTTCTTGATAAAAGTTCCACCACTCTAGAACAAAAATCATCCCTATAGCCTATTGTAAGTCACTCACATCTACACATCAAGGCTTATAGGAAGAGAAAGTTGTACCATCTTGTTTTTGATTTGATAATCTCTTGAAAGAAGAGATTGTTGTGGCATTGGCAATTGAAGATTGTCAAGGTTGTACGGTTTGCTTGCGGGTTGCAAGTGCTTGCGGTTTTGCAAGTGGAAATAGTGGAGAAATCTCAAGCGAGGCTTGGGGACTGGATGTAGGTCTGGAGGACCGAACCAGTATAAATCCTTGTGTTTGCGTATGCAATTTTCTGTGATTGTCTACACATTGGTTTGATCTTTCTTACTCTTTGTGATATTATTTTATTGAAATTTAAAGTTTCCGCATTAGATTTCATAAACACTATTCAACCCCCCTTCTAGTGTTTGAGTGCCATTGCAGCGATCCTACAATTGGTATCAGAGCAGGTTAATCAAGGATATCAATGGCTACATCATCTACATCACAGTTCAAGGAAAGTCGTTCTACTCAAAGACCACCACTTTTCGATGGTTCCAACTACAACTACTGGAAGTGTAGGATGAAGATCTACCTTCAATCGATAGGATTCGATCTCTGGAACATACTGATTACAACAAGCCTACTACTCCATATTCTGAATGGACATTGGTGGAAAGGACAAATGCGAATCTTGACGCCAAGGCAATGAATGCATTGTTTTGCGCAATGGATAAGAATGAATTCAACCGCGTGTCTACTTCCAACACTGCACATCAAATCTGGCACACACTTGAGGTAACCCACGAAGGAACTTCTAAGGTTAAAGACTCAAAAATTTCTGTTTTAGTGCACAGGTTTGAAATGTTCAAGATGAAAGACAACGAGACAATTGGTGAAATGTTCACAAGGTTCACCGACATCATCAACTCCCTAATTGCGTTAGGAAAGGACTATACACAAGTGGAGATGGTTAGGAAAATCCTCCGGGCTCTTACTTCGGATTGGGAGAAGAAGACTACCGCGATAGAGGAAGCCAACGACCTCTCCACATTGACAGTAGAAAATTTGATAGGGAATTTGATGGCATACGAGGTGCAATTTGAAGATCGGAAAAAGGATAATGAAGATAAGAACAAGAAGGTTCTTGCTTTCCAAGCATCTACTGATGATGAGGATTCCGATGACGAAGAAGAGTTTGAAATAATCACACGCAAATTCAGAAATTTTTTGAAGGTAAGTTCTCTTCTAGTAAATTCAAAGATACTAACAAAGTCACTTGTTTTGGTTGTAATAAGCCAGGACACTACAAGAAAGATTGTCTCCTACAACAAAAGTTAAAATCGAAGTCTTCTAACAATTTCAACGGGTTCACAAAGAACAAGAATGAACAAGTGAAGAACAAAAATAAGAAGGCTTTGTCGATAACATGGGATGATAGTGACCAGTCATCTTCAGATGAAGAAGAGGAAAAAGAAGATCATCAAGCGAATATGTGCTTTATGGCAAATAAATCTGATGATGATCAAGTAAGTAATCATGATGAGTTACTTAACGCATTTAACGAATTATTTTTGAAATACAAGCTACTAAATTATTCTTTTAAAATATTAAAAAATGAAAATGAAAATTTGAATAACACTTTAGTCTCTCCTTATGCTTCACAAATAGAAGATCTTAAAGAGAAGAATAAAGAATTATTTTCTAAAAATTACAAGTTATCTAGTAACAATCAACTTCTTAAAAAAGAATGTGATTTCTTTAAAGTTCGTATTTCAAATTTGAATGATGATGTTAATAGTCTTAAAACCAAATATGAAACTATATTAATGAATGTAGGTAAATTTAATAAAGGAAAAGAGAATCTAGATAATCTACTTTCTTATCAATTACCTGCTATGAGTAAACAAGGATTAGGATATGTTTCTAACTCCAGTAATGAGAAAACATACTCTTCTATGCAAAAGAAAAATTATGCTTATTTATATTCTAAATTTTTGAAAAGTAATTATCATGCACATAGTGATACATCTATGCATGTTAGTTCTAAAGTATTTTCACATAATGATAGAAAAATGCATATGAAGAAAGTTGCATGTAAGAATATTTTAAAATCCAACTACATTTGGGTTCCTAAAAATGTATGTTTAAGTGATAGAAAGATATACTTATCAAATTACAAAAAGGATATTTGTGATTCTAAAAACTATCATTCATACAATGTAGGTAAACCAAATTCTTATTGGGTTTAGTTTCCTAAATGCTAATCTCATGGACCCAAAAGTTAAAGGGTACCAAAACATATTTCTTTTATTTTGCAGGTACCTAATAAAAGGGAAACATGGATTTTAGATAGTGGCTATTCCGAGCACATGACCGGGAACAAGGACTTATTTTCTTCCATACAATTTAAAGATGGAGGAACGGTTACCTTCGGTGACAACAACAAGGGTCAAGTGGTAGGAATTGGAACGGTTGATATAAACTTTAAAACTCTTATTAATAGTGTGTTATTAGATGATGGTTTAAAGTATAATTTGCTTAATATAAGTCAATTATGCGATAAAAACTATAAAATAGTGTTTGAAAATGACATGACAATTTTATTGTTCAACGGTTTTAGAAAGAAAAATATTTATATAAACAAAATACTAGGGTTGAACCAGAAGTTTTATATTAATTGTTTCATTATTTATTATCTCCCTTTCTATTCTCCTTTTTGTTAATGACAAAGGGGGAGATATATTAGAATATTGAAATATTGACAACTATTGCAATATTGAAATATTGTTATACAATATTAGGATTACTATTAAGTGCTATTTTTTTGTGTGTTAAATTAACATGTATGCATTGTTGCAGGGGGAGTAAGTATGTTATTAAAAATTTTCAATATTATTTGTCATCATCAAAAAGGGGGAGATTGTTGGGAACATGGTTGATGTTAAAATATCTCTTGTATTTTGATGATAACAAATCATTATTTATATAACATATTTTACTGCAGATTCAAGATATACATCTCAAAGCAACAATCAAATTATCAAGGCTATTTCAAAGATCAAAAGATGAAGTTCAAAAGATGTAAATTTTATCTTTTTTTTTTAGAATTTTTGTACAAGCCTTGATCACACACACAACACACACTATTTACTTAGAAAATCATAAAAAATATTCTAAGTATAATCCTAATTTTAATCAACATATGAATAAGTGATTAAACTATTGAAAATATCAAAAATATGGTTTCTGACCGACCAAAGATAGGTCTGGTCGACTAGATTGATGAGCCAGAAACAGAGATTCAGAAAAATCTATGTCTGGTCGACCAGATATGGACCTGGTCGACCAGAGGCTCCAGATTCGACCAGGAAATTTTCCAGAAAGCCTTTCTGGTCGACCAGGCCTCAATCTGGTCGACCAGACAGTGCTTCCAACAGCCATATTTTTCAAATAAATATGGACGTTTTGTGAACGTTTTTGGCAGTTATTTTTGAATATTTTTGAACGAAAATTATACCTATAAATAGGTGTTAAGTTCTGAAATTTTACAAGTGAATTCTTTTCTATAAACGTGAGTTTTTCTTGACTTCTTAAGATCATTTCTGAAGAGAAAAATTGAGTGAAATTTTTAGTTTTGTTCTTGATAAAAGTTCCATTACTCTAGAACAAAAACCATCCCTATAGCCTATTGTAAGTCACTCACATCTACACATCAAGGCTTATAGGAAGAGAAAGAGTTGTACCATTTTGTTTCAGTTTGATAATCTCTTGAAACAATAGATTGTTGTGCCCCCCCCCCCCCCCCCCTTCTAGTGTTTAAGTGCCATTGCAGCGATCCTTTAATGTGATCCAGAGCAGGACACCAGTAGCCCCAGCCCAAGATGACGAGCGTCCACCTTCGAGACAGCAGCAGAATCCGCAGCGACAGTAGTTTTCTCAGCGCCAACCACTTCCTCCTGTGCATCCCTATCAGCGCCCTGGAGTGCAGACTCACGGCCAGCTTTTGGTACAGTGTTCCTATTGTAGCTACCCTGGACATACCCAGCAGGAGTGCCCCAGGCATCTTCGTCTGTGCTACAACTATGGGTCCCCCGACCATATCAGCCGAGACTATCCTCAGCAGTAGCGGGTTCGTTTGCCCCCTCCTCCAGTTCGGGCAGCTCTTCCAGCTCCCCCTCGATCAGTCCCAGCAGCTCTGGTTTAGCGCGGAACCTATCCTCGGGCAAGGCCTCTTCCTCAACAGTAGTAGGTTTATCAGGAAGCGCGAAGGCAGCAACCACCTCGTCAGATGTTTACGTTGTACAATTAGTTGTATTATTTCTATTATTACGTATCAGCTGTTGTATTAATATAACTAGTACGTTTTACTGTGTATATAATTATCATATAATTATTTGTTTTTAAAAAATAAGTAAATATATTTTGTTTATTAATTATTCTCATTTAACTATACAAAATGTGTATATTTCGACTATTTCGTATCAACTGTTATATTAGTACAACGTATACGTTTTATTATGTAGATAATTTTTACATAATTATTTAATTTATTTCGTAATTAATATTATTTTTAAATATTTTTCAAAACCCTAAAATTTCCATTAACTATACAAAATGTGTATATTTCGACTATTTCGTATCAACTGTTATATTAGTACAACGTATACGTTTTATTATGTAGATAATTTTTACATAATTATTTAATTTATTTCGTAATTAATATTATTTTTAAATATTTTTCAAAACCCTAAAATTTCCTTTATATATATATGTATATATATTCCGTGCCTCTCATTCTTCCTGTCTGCGAACCCGCCGCCCCACCTCTTTCTTCTTCTTCTTCTTCTTCTTCTCTCTCTCTCTCTCTCTCTCTCTCCTCTCCTCTCTACCTGATCTTGTCGACTCGCTCTCTCACGTCCGATCAAAATCTTACAAAATTGTTACTTGTCTCTCTTCTATCTAGAGACGTAAGTTCCGATTCGTGTTCAGATTTCCCCTCTTTCATTTGCTTTTTTGCGATCTAATGATTTTTATTTTTATTTTTATTTTTTTCTGTTTCTTCTTTGATTTTTTGCAGATGGCTAATGGCGGAGCTGCTGCGTGTGCAGAGAGGGCGACGAGTGATGCGTTGATGGGCCCCGATTGGGCTGCAAATATTGAGCTTTGTGACCTTATCAACATGGACCCAGGGTACGATTTAGGGTTTCTGGGGTTTTAGTCTGAGATCTCAAATTGTGTGGTTGAATTGGGTGAAAAAGGTTGATTCTTGTGAAGATTAAAGTTTAGATCTTTATTGCTAGCTGATGATAGGATTCTTACCTGGTGCTGAAGAGGACTTGGTAGCAAAAATTGGAACCGGATAACTGATATTTTGGAGCTTTCTCTCGAAATGTTTGTCTTGAAATCATCTATTTCTTTAACCACTTAGGAAGCAAAGTATTTATACTTGGTCATTTTTATTTTTTTGGGGCCATCTTAATCTCTAATATGCCTTACCTGCCCGTTTGGTCGCTTGCAATTGGACTGGTTGAAACTACAGTGACATGCAAATGGTCATTTTCGTCAAGTTGCAAGTGTTCGTTTTCTTTGCAGCTACTAGTTGTAGTTGCAATTGCGATTGCAAAAACCCTTCCTGGTCGTTGTGTGACATATGCCAGATCTTGGTACAAGTCATAATTGCAACTCAAGACAATACATAATGGGTTTTAAGCTGCAATCACAGTTGCAAGTGTCATTGCATGTAATAGCAGCTGCAACAATCTCAGATGCATGCAAGTGACGGTTGCATTGCAACTACAGTCACAAGCCGCCAAACGACCACTAACTTAGTTCTAGCTTATGAATTGTTTTCGTTCTTTTATTTTCAAAACCTAGTCTCTCAGCAATAGAGTATAGGTGCGTTGTAATGGATGGAGCATTTCCAAGTCATTCATGCATCATGGCCTCTATGTAATGCTAGTAAATGAACATAGTGATTTTATTTACGGTTTGTGCCTGCTTTGGCTCTTCGATTTTGCTTTACACTAGAGAGGCATTTTATTTTATTTAGTTGAATTTTGAAATAGTTTAAATTATGCCTGTTTGTTTGAAGTGTCCCCCTGCATTCCAGCTGAAGCATTATTTGATGAGTAGTTTATTGTATGAACCTGTTTTAATTATCTTTTCTGATGAAATGCAGGCAAGCAAAGGATGCCCTTAAGGTTCTTAAGAAGCGCTTAGGGAGTAAAAATCCCAAAATACAGCTCCTTGCCCTCTTTGTGAGTCTAAAAACTGCTCGTAGATATATAATCTTTTATTGATCTCCTAATATTTGGGAGAGATTGATATTTTCAGATTATTTTTGTTTAAAAATATTAGTTTTGGAACATAATATGTTCTCCTCTTTTGAAGAGCCTGACATTCTGCCTAAGCTACTTATCGTGGTTCTCTTATAGCTGAGGGCTATACTACACCTATGCTATTGTCTTGGTAAAGATGAAATTTAACAGTTTTCTCTTTCTGTGCGTATGGCCTGCTGTAATATTGTCCGAGACAAAAGTGAGCCAGATGTCCAATTTTTTAACATCTCCAAAGGAAAGCTGATTATAATAGATCCTTTGCAAATGGTTTAATAGTATCAAAGTAACCTGCTCTGAGTATGTGAGCCAATTCAATTAAGCATGCTAGTTAACCACATGTTAGTAGACATGTGAGAAGGTTCAGAATAATTTCTAATTTGTTTGCACTAAAGATGCAAGAACAGTTCTTACGAATTTAAGAATTCAAGTCATTTTCCATACAACCAGTGTTACAGAAGGCGCTAGACGGACTAGGCGTTCAAGCCGGGGCCTAGCGCCTAGGCACCTAGGCCGCGTTTGCCTATTTTTTAATTTATTTTGAGTTGATAAAGCTTTAACTTGTATATGTTGTTCTTGATTAACATTTTCTTCATCACTATGCCTCCTCCTCCTTTGGATATCATTGTTGTAGCTCATATTCCATCCAATCNCTTATCTCCTCGTCGTCGAGTTCCTTCAAATCCAACCCCGCCGAGACCCAACTGCGCTTTGCAACATTCCCTCATTGCTCGTTATTAACTTATCTCCTCGTCGTCGAGTTCCTTCAAATCCAACCCCGCCGAGACCCAACTGCGCTTTGCAACATTCCCTCATTGCTCGTTATTAACCGCCCCGCCGTAGGCTCGCATCTTCGACGTCGATTCGTTTGACGTACCCGAGGCAAGATCTCATTGCTCAGTTTGTCATTCTTTATATTTTAGATTGTTATGAATTATCTGCATATTTTGAATTATGATATAATTATCTGCGTGGCTTTTTTGGTGAAATAATATTAGATAAATCATAACAATATAATAAGCAGTATTTTCAGAACAATTATGACTAATTAAAAAGAATTTATTTCATCAGCAGAATCATTTTTGGATAATTATATTAATTAAAAGGAATTTATTTGAGAACGGAATCATTTGAAGAAAATTATGATGAATTATAAGAAATTTATTTTGGAAAAGGAATTATTTTAGATTAATTATTAAGAGAAATAATTTAAAATGAATTAATTTAGAAAATATTATGTAGACGTTGTTTATGATTTATAATTCTTAATTTTTGGCTATTTGATATGTCATGATATTATTGTACATGATTAGTTGCATTGATTGTTCATTGTTATGATTGAGAATTGTTAGGAGTTCATGACTATAGTGACCTGTATGACACAGTTAGGATCTAGAACCTCGTGTGTAGTTGACCTGGAATTACGAGAATTAGGATGAGAAGTCTTGGTCCATGTGAGCATTTGGGATTGATGATGTATATTACAGGCTCGCGCCGGTGAAGTTTGAGTAGTCACCGGGGTAGGTCAGAGGAGATGAGATTTGTGATTGTTGATGTATATTCTGGGCTCGCGCCGGTGAAGTTTGTGTAGTCACTGGGGTGAGTCAGAGGAGTTGATATATTTATGATTGTGGTTGTATTCCGGGCTCGCGCCGATGAAGTTTGTGTAATCACCGGGGTGGGTCGGAGGAGTTGAGATATTTGTTATTTGCGATCATTCAGTTATCCGATGATATGAGCGTTATATTTGTGTGAAATGTGGACCAGTGGCAAGTTATAGAATGAATAGTACATGATCTTGTTACTTAAGGTGAATATGGATGCTTGTGTGATATGTAGGTCAGTTGTATTTCTTTTCATACATAGATCGGGGTCAATATTTAATTATCTACAATTTGAGATATATGGTATATACATGAGGGTTTCCTTGTTTGGATTATTTTGCTCGACGTACTACGTCTCTTGTTGTAGATTTTTAAGTATTAATTCTATCTATTGTATGACCTTGTTGCTTGGATGGTTTCTGATCTCTACCTGCATGATCTTGTTACATGGTTGATTTTTGGACTCTTCGGATTATTAGTATTCCAGTTGCATGCCTCTATCGTTATTACTATTACCACATGTTCTATTTCTATTTCTGTTATCGCATTGACCACACATATGTTATCATTACTGTTATTGTATTTGTTCCTGCCTTGGGGGATCTTGCCGTGTGTTATACACGCTGACGTACTCCTATTTTCTAGGTATACATCAGATTTAGGAGATGGACAGCCTCGGTTCGGAATCGTACAGGAGCCAGAAGATTCTTAGCAGGGGTATCTTGCAGAAGGAGTAGAAGAACCAGCTGAAGGGTAGTGATTTTTCTTCCGTAGTAGTAGTTGGACATTAAAACTCTTTTACTATACTTTTCTGTAGTTGATGATGGATTTATTATTTTGGATAATCTTCTAGCATGAGAATTTTAAACTTAGCTAATTTTCATATTATGATTTAGTTAACGAAGTTATAGCATACCTACAAACTTAGCATATAAACCTAAACCAACCATGCTCTAAACTTTAGTTAGAGATAACCCAATTATTAAATACCTAATTTGAAACCCTCAAATTAACATAGCTATTTAAATAGTTTAGCCATAATAGTGGGTGAAGTTTATACAAAAACCCTCAACTTTGGCCAAATTAAATATTTCACTTCGCATGGGCTTATATATATGTGCCGTCCACCTCTCATTTTACCATTTAAGAAGAAAAATCTCTTCAAAACCTCCTCCCTTTCCTCTGCACGTCTCCAACACCTCTCCTCTTATAAAAAAAGAAAGAAAAAAAATATTCCAAAAGCCTTCATCTCTAAAGAACATTGAAGAAGAAGGAGTGGAGAAAGAAGGTAGTTGAGGACTTTGGTGGAGGAAGTGGGGCAAAGTCAAAACCCTAGGTAAAATTCTCTATTGCATGTTGTTATTAAGGATATTAGAACTGAAATTATATGATTTAATTTGGATTTAGTCTTTCATGTAACATTTTAGGGCATGCATGTCAATTTATCTTGAAACAGAATTTCGTGTAGAAATTCCAGCATGATACACTATCAGAAAAAAGATCATAACTTTCTTTATATATATCCAAATGAAGAAATTCTTTCTGTTCTAGAAACTACACATTCGTGGCTTACATTTAAGACCATGTTTTTTTAATTATAAAATCATTTACTAGTTTGAAAGTACAGTTTAACTCAATGCATGTGTCTGAAACTGTCTGCTTGAGTTATGTCCTTTGTAAAGAGCATATATCTCAACATATACCATGCATGCATGAAATTCTTTCTGTTCTAGAAACTAAACTTTTGTGGCTTTCATTTGAGACCCTGTTTGTTTAATTCTAAAATTATTTATTAGTTTGAAAGTATGGTTTAACTCAGTGCATGTGTCTGAAACTGTCTGCCTGAGTTATGTCCTTTGTAAAGAGCATATATCTCAACATATACCATGCATGTATGAAATTCTTTTATTCCTAAAACTAGACTCAATTGTCCTTCCATTGATGTGGGTTTAAATTAATTTGAATAATGTTTGGTAAGTTTATACCTAGTTCTAATAGCTAGTATATGTACTCGCAATTTTAGTCTACCCCATGTGTTGTTTTGCATGTAACATGCATTATAAAAATAAAAATTTGATGCAACTAATGGGACTTGGAATCTAATCCATTATATAACTTATATGCCAAATTTGAGCTCATTTTCAATTTGTTAAGTATCATAAATAAATCATTAATTTCAGATAGAAATCTCTATTTTTCTGCTATAGTTTTGATAGGTGTATTTTGCTGAGAGTATAACACTTACTATACACCATACATTGATGTAATATTTTATATTATAAAATTAGACTCATAATAGAGTCATTTGGAACTTGTTTCATATATTTTGGACATCAATTGTTATACCATCCATTCACCTAAATCTGCTATATGTACACTACTAGTACTGCTGTGCATGCTAGAGATATTGAATGTAATCATCTAGAGTGTAGCTTATACCGTAATATAATTTTTAAGTTAGAAAATTATAAAAGACATAGTGTTTAGAATCTCATGTGGGTATACATATATATAGGACAGAGAATCTTGGATTCATTCGTTGGCCGAGAGGATCCTGGCATAATCGGTAGGTAACCTTTCATTGTTTCCTCTCAAGTCTTTGAGAGTTCGATTGATTACTTTCTTAAAATTCCTACTAGTTTGTTTCTCATGCTAATTTGTATATCTTATCACTTCCGTAATATTCCTATTTGATTCACTTCATGCATTGGCTCTTTGTGATTTATTAGTCATTGTTATCCTAATGTTGTTTATATCAGTTTTATATCTTTGATAATATTCCATTCTTTGTTGATAATTGATAGTCTATATTTATGGATTATACCCTGTGTGAAGTAAGTTTCACCGGTGGGTGGTAATAGTAATGTGTCCTGATAGGGACAACGCCGTGTGTGAGGACGCTCACCGGTGGGTATATAAAGTCATGCGCGGTTTATTGATTATCTATGATTGGGGATTTTGAAATCCTGAATATTAGACCTTGATTATTCATCTTTACATATTATTTTATTTTGATCAATGATTACAATATAAGAATGGCAACTTAATATTAAGATCCCTTTGTTCAAGTTTAATATCTATGTCTATCATTTTTATTCGTTCCCTTGTATTATACCCGAGATTTTTATGGTAACCTATTGGGCCTTAGGCTCACCCCTATTATTTCTGAATCCACTCACAGGTCATACTGCTGGCAAGGATAAGGTAATTGCAGACCCTGAAGTTGAAGATTAGCTCCGGAGGAAACTCTTAGTAGGAGTTAATTTATGTTCAATTTTGTAGTA